AGACTGTCAAAATGGTCAGGTTTTGCTACATATATACTTTCCACGATGAAAAAATTTTGATGGGGATAATGTCAGATTAAAAAAGGAGCAGGCAGCAAAAAAAGCAGGGCCCCACCCCACCCCCTGCAGCAAGAGAAACTGTAGGGGGAGAGATAAAAGATAAGAGGCAGAGAAAAACAGGAAGCTGAGAAATGAAGCCTCTTGGGCCAGCAGGACAGACCTCGAGCCCTGGAGAGGGAGGGAGGGAGAATCAGATATGACTGCAGGGAGAGTGGGAAGAAAAATCTTGAATACAAGTAAGAATGGCTTCATAATAGTGACATTGGTCTCGGGTCATTTTGAGTTACAGCTGATGGAGCAGGTGTTAGAAAGATGGGGAAACTAAGGCTAAGGGGGTTTTTTTGTATTATTTTTTCTGGCCCAAGATCACACAGAGTCTAATGCAGCAGTAGTATTTCACCTCGGGCTGCATTTGTTCCAGAACTTCTGTCTTGAGACACAATGGAAAGAGAGGCAGTGAAGAGTTGCACACAGAAAGAAAAAAAAAAAAAAAGCTGGAATGGCTCGTCTTATTCTATTTATTTCCCAACAAAGCATTTTAAAAGCATGAAAAAGTGAGGGATGACCCCGAGTAGCCGAAAGAGTAGCCGAAACAGAAAAGACTCGTAAAGGACCAGACCAAACTGGTCGCGGCCCAGTTGGTTTCCATTCAAGGTGACCCCGTGTGTTAACCAGGCAGGGCTTTCTTTCTTGGCTGCAATCTTCACGGGAGCAGATCAGCGGGCCCTTCTGTGAGACCGCCAATCCGTAAGTGGATTGGAACTGGCAACCTTTAGGTTAGGAGTCCAGGGCAAACCAATTTGTCATCTCAGGTAGCTGTGAGCAAGGGACAGAAGAGGACCGGATAGGGAGAGTTCAAGAGAGAAATGGAGCCCAGGCAACACCGATCACTCCTGGAGTCCGACAAAGTGGGCCGGACCGGAAACCATGTGGCCAGTGGGGTAGGGAAAGGGAAACAGGTACAAGCGTGAGAAATCACACACATTGACAGCTGCTGTGAAGCTCGGTGGAACTTTATTAAGCTAAGGCCCTCCAGGAAGATAGCTGGGGCAGGAACAGGGCCTCCTGCTGACGGCGGGAAGGCAGGGGGCTCAGGGCAGGAGTGGGGCCCGCCAGGTGGCGCGTGTGGACTCTTTTCAGTGATTCTCACTGGGCTCAGCGCCAGCGTTGGCGCCCACCGCCTCCTGCACCTTCTGCACCAAGTTGGCCCACTGGCGCTGCATGTCTTCCACCAAGGGCTCAAACCAGCTCTTGAGGCGGGCCTGGAAGGCCTCCGCCTGGAGGCGCATCTGGGTGGCCTGTTCCTCCACCTTGGTGCGCACCTCTTCCATCTGCTCGCGCATCTCGTCCAGGCGATCCCGGGCCCGGCTGCCCACCTCTTCCAGCCGCCCGCGCAGCTGCTGGCCCCAGGCCTCGGCCCGCTCCCGCAGCGGCTTGCTGGCCAGGGTGCCCACAGTGGCGGCCCGCACGCGGCCCTGCTCCAGCAGCGGCCCCAGGTGCTCTCGGATGGCGCTCACGCTGCGCTCGGCGCCCTCGCGGGCCCCGGCCTGGTACACCGCCAGGCGCTTCTGCAGCTCCTCGGCGTCACGCAGCAGCCGCTTGCGCAGCTTGCGCAGGTGCGAGGCAAGGCGCGCGCGCAGCTCCTCTGTGTTCTGGCCCAGCACGGCCTGGGCCTCGCTGCGGTACTGGGCCAGGCGGCTGCGCACGTCTTCCATGTCGGCCGCCAGGCGCGCCTGCGCCGCCTGCAGCTCCTTGGTCAGGCGCGCCTGCGTCTGTTCTGCCACCGGGCCCAACTGGGTCTCCAGCTCGGACTTGTAGGCCGACACCTCCTTCATGGTCTCCTCCATGAGCACCCTGTGGGCGGAGGGGGCGGGAGAGGATGAGAGAGACAGGTGGGCACGTATGGAGAGAAATCCAGGGCCCAGGGGGCAAGACAGCCATGGAGGCAGAGACCCAAAGCCGGGAGAGGAGACAGGGAGAAAGCAGAGAAACGGAGACTGGGAAAGCAGCTCGCGGGGACAGTGCAGGAAAGCCAAGCTAGGAACAGGAAGTGTGTTGTTAGTTGCTATGGTGTCCTTTGGACTCATGGGGACCCCGTGTGTCACAGAGGAGAACTGCTCCGTGGGGTTTTCAAGGCTGGGACAGATCACCAGGCCTTTCTTCTGAGGTTTCTCTGGCTGGGTTCAAACCAACAATCTTTTGGTCAATGGTCCAGAATTTTAACCGTGCCACCCAGAGAGTCCTTAAGGACGGTGTAAGAGGCTGAGGTAGCATGACCGAGGTCAACCCAGAGAAACAGGGACATACCTTAGACAGGAACATACCTTAGACAGGAGACGAGAACTCAGATCAGAGAGCTGTCAAGGAAGGAGGTGGGGACGGAGAGACAAAGCAAGAACACAGAGACCCAACCCCCGTGGACTCAAGAGTCCGGAGGAGCCGGCCACCAGGAAGGTGTGGGGCCCGCCAGGTCACTCACTTCAGCTCCTGGGTGACCTGGACACCGCGAAGCTCCTCCTGAACCTCGTCCGACAGCGTCTGCACCCAGCGCAGGTAGTCCCAGAAGTGGCCCAGCGCCTGCTCCCAGGGCTGGCTGCCCTGCCACCCAGGGTGCACCTCGGGCTCCTCTTCGGCCTGGCATCCTGCAGGGAGCAAGGTCCGGCTCATTAGGACCATTCTGCCCCTCCCGCCCCTCCAGGTACCCAGTACCTGGTATTCAGTTGGAGCTCCACAAATGCTCACGGGCCTCTTTGGAGCATTGGTGTGCAGGGAGGGGTTGGAGGGCCACCCCGTCTGTTTAATCACCGGACAAGCACTGATTGAATGTCTTTGTGTGCTCCATGCCGGGCCACGTTGGGGGCAGGATAAGAATGTTGTTGTTATATGCCTGTCGAGTCGGACCCGACTCATAGTGACCCCTCCTTGGGTTTCCAAGGCAGTATCACTACGGAAGTAGATTGCCCAACCTTCCTTCCAAGGAGTGGCTGGTGGGTTTGAACCGCCAGCCTTCTGGTTAGCAGTCAAGTGCCTTAGGCACTATGCCACCAGGATAAGAATAACCGTCTCCAACTGGTGCTCTCTAGCCGTTAACTGCTTCATGGATACAGTAAAACCTGGGAAAGCTAGAACCTGTGTAAGACGGAAACTTGTCAGAGAAGGAAAACTCAAATATTTCCCACTAATGAAAAGTGAGGGAGCTCTGGTGGCGTAGTGACTAAGGCCCTTGACTGCTAACCAGAAGGCTGGCGGTTCAAACCCACCAGCCACTCGTCAGAAAGAAGGTTAGGCAATCTACTTCCGCAGTGATACTGCCTCGGAAACCCAAGGAGGGGTCGGAAACAACTCGACAGCACATAACAACAACAACAACAAATGGAAAGTGAGGGGTGAGGCATTTGGCTGTTAACCAGAAGGTTCGAGGTTCAAACCCTCCAACTGCCCCATGGGAGGAAAGTGAAGCAATCTACTTCTGTAAAGATTTACAGCCTTGGCAACCCTATGGGGGTCACAATGAGTCAGAACTGACTCAATGGCAGTGGGTTTACTGGAGAGCTACAGGGAAGGGGTAAGCCGCACCCTGTCAAAGGTGGAAAACTTTCAGGATCTGGAAAAATAAGGCAGTCCCGTCAAGTTCCGGCTCCCACAAGTTTTAATGTATAAAGTTGTCCTGACAACAGTGAGAGGCACTGCCACTGAGTCGATTCCGACTCATAGCGCGACCTTAGTTGGTCGAAAACGTTAGAGAGAGCGTCAGTATTAAGGATGGGGGAAGCCCAGGCCCACAGAGGTGAAAGGCCTCTTGGAACCTGTAAGCGTCAGAGACCGCCCAGACCCACGCCTGTCCTCACGGGGGAGACAGACCAGAATGGGCAAAGGGAAAAAGAGAAAGGTGGGCGGGGGAAGGGGAGGTGACCTGGGCGAGCCCCACCCCCATACCTGCCAGGAGGGAGACCACCAACACGGTCCACAGAACCTTCATCTTCCGGGCAGCGATTGGTCAGTCTGGGAAGAGAGACATGTCCATCAACAGCTCAGGCCCAGGGCCCTGCCCCCCCCCCCCGCCCCGATCTGCTACAGCCTAATCCAATCACAAACACCCCAGGAGCCCCACCATTGTCTAGATAAGCACCCCATTGTCTTCCCCTATCTCCCCATCCCAGGTCAGCTTCCAAAATTCCATCTCCCTCTCCCAGGGTTCAAATTCCACCCACCGCTACCCCGACGCCCGCCCTCGCCCCAGGTTCCATCCCAGTTCCAACCGGGCTTTCCTCCTTCTCCCCCACACGCTCGTCTTCAACTTCACATCTGTGTGCCTCTGCCACAGGTTAAGTCATCGAATCCTCCTTCAAACGGAGCATCTAGACACCCTGCCCCCTCAGGCCCTGTGGCCCCTCCCCCCATGCCGCACTGCTGCCCGGGCCACAGTAGGTGCTCAGTAAATGACAGTGACAATCAGTGGCATGTGTGGTGGCCTGCAGGTTTTGCCTGCAGGTCCGACTTCCTCCGCCCCCTCCTCAGCTGAGATGGCTGCCCCAGGCGTTGGCTGGTCCTCTTCTCTCCCTCAACGCATCCCCACCAGCTTTCTTGACCTTCCTTAGCTCTCTTCCCTGTCCCGGACTTTTTTTTCCTGAAGGCCAAGGCTCGTGGGGTCCCCAGACGCAGCCTCCCAGTGGCCCCTGAGTTGGTCCCAGTGCCCCCGACCCTGAGTCTCACCGGCTCCAGGGAAGAAAGGCCTTTGCTCTGCTCGGGCTGAGCAGGACTCCGGGAATCAGACTTGTCCAATTATAGGACTCTCCCCTGCCCCGCCCCGCCCCCAGGGCCAGGGCGGGCTGAGCCAGCCCCCAGTCACGAGGTGGGCTGGACCCACCCGCCCACCTACCCACTGGGAGGAGGAAGGGGGTGGGGCTTGGAGGCCCTGTGGCCTATGGCACCCCCAGCCCCCAGAGGGAGATGACGCCTCACCCAGTAACCCCGGCACCCTCCTCTATTCTGGAGGGCACCCCTTCTCCCTCCTGTGTGAATGAACAAAATTTGGGGAGGGGGCTGGTGGTGCTTTGATTTCACGATGCTGGGGGAAGAGGGCGTGAGGGCCTGGACATCTGGGGCTGAGGTAGGAGGAGGGTGGGGACTCGAACTCCTGAGTCTGGGGGAGTTTGGGGGCCAAACTCTTGGGAGTGAGGGAAGAGGTGTGTAGGGTCTTGGATTCTAAGGTCTGAGAGAGGACAAAGATTTTGAATTCCTGGGTCTGAGGACTGAGAGACTCTTGGGCCCAGAGACAGGAGAGGGCTGGAGTCTTGGACTCCTGGGTCTGAGGGCAGAGGGCTGTGCAAGTGGCCTCGTGGACAGCGACTGACCTGCTCTAACTTCACAGGGGGGAGAGCCACCATCCCCAGCTCAAGGCGAGGTCAGACTTGCCTCCTCTCCCACCTCTTTACCGATTAGGGCATCAGCCGCCCTCCCATGGCGCTCTTGTGGCTCTCCTGGGTTTGACACTTAGTTGCAATGGCCACACAGGACTCACAGACCATATTCACCATCATGGGGTTTATTGGGAAAGCGACTCAGGATCAGGAACGCTCAGGACACAGTTCCTTGGTTGGAACAGCTTTTAGTCTTGCCTGCAGGCAGGCCTCTCTCTGGTCCTCAGTCCCTTGGGCCTGGCCCCTGCCCTGCTTAGGCACGTTACAAAGTTCTTCAGCTCCCCCAACAATGAAGTGCGCTCAGGGACCCCACTCAGCTACTAAACCTCCTGCCCCGGACTGACCGACTCTAGCACTCCGTGGGCGGGAGGCCTACTGTAACCACTTTGCCTTGCAGGCCGGGAAGCCTCTGGCTGGTCTCCTGGCTCTGCTGCTGTGGTTTTTTGCTTCAGGAGGTCTTACGCTCTGTTACAGCTCCGTCCCCTGGGCCCACGTTTCAGCACAGGGACCCTTGGCCCAAAGGACACACTCCATTCCCGGCTCTTCTTTCTTGGTGAAGTTCCTCCCCCCCGCTTCCAACTCTGGGATGGCTTGTTTTAGGCAGGAGAGAAGAACTGACCATTCCGTTGTTAGGGTTCCATCCCTACAAGGATGCTATGCACTTTATTTGCATCATTAGCAAGCTGTCCAATCCCTCCGGGGGGCCACAAGCACCTTATTTGCATAGTCCCAAAGACCATATAACAGTGATCCATTGCACTACAAGAGGGCTGGGGGCTTAGACTCAGACCGAGAGAGGGGAGTTTGGGACTCCTGGCTCTGAGGGAGGCGGCAGGTGGCTAGAACAGAAATGGGGTAAGAGCAGTAGGGATCCAGTAAAGCGTCTACTGAAAACCTAGGCTGGGAGCAGAAACATGCATTTTAACCGTGGCACCACCTCTTCGGCCATGACCTTGGCCATGAGCCCCTCCCCGACTTTCCCCACTTGGGAAATGGAGACCCAGCACTTCCCTCCTGCACAGGCATTGTGGATCCCAGGAACCTCCCGGGATTCTGCCTTCTACAGGGCTTGAGAAGCGGACTCTGGAAGCAAACAGCTGGGGCTCAGAGTCTGGTCCCGTCAGTTGCCAGCTGTGTGACCTTGAGCAGATGACCTAGCTTCTCTGAGCATGAGTTTCTTCACCAATCAAGCCGGGGAAAAGAACTATAGCACTTTGGTGATGTAACATGTTCGTGTCCATTGTTACATGTTCACAGAGAACAGTCCTTGACTCCCAGTGGGTGCTGCAGTAGGGTACGCCGCTGGGAGGGGCCCCAGCGAGCAAACCGTGGCTGAGTAAATCCCAGCCGCTCCAGAGAAGCCTGAGGTTAGGAGCTGAGCCCAGCTGCCAAGCTGCAGAGAGAAGTGCAGCTGGGATCCATCCCCGGTTCTGTGAAGGGGTGGGGACACTGGATTTCGAGGTTCGGTTGGGCCAGGCCGAGTGCCTACTCCCAGGAACGGAGCCCCAGTGGCGGCCCAGGCCTGGGCCCTGCTAGCTCTGGCCTCAGAGACACTGGCAGGGAGGGGGTGAGACGGCTGGTCGGGGTAACTAGAGGTCATTCTGTGGCTCCCTCCTCCTCTCAGACTGAGGGGGAGCCCGCAGGGTTTCCGGTTCCCAGTCTGGAAAGGTGCGGGGTACGGCAGTTTACCCGAGGTCAAGTTGGCAAACCATGGGCTCCCCCTCCCCAGTCCTGACACCTCCCAACCGCCCTACCACCACCACCCAGGAGCCCTCAGCCAGCTCTCAGTAGGTGCTCGGATCTTTCTCGAAGCTACTGAGATCTACCTTCCTCCTAGAACAAATTCCAGTACCGTCATGTCCCGCACTGTTTGGAATCTGGGGAGCTCTGGGGTCCCAGCTCCCTGTCCCCAGCCCTGCCCTCAGTGACACCACCCCTGCTGCCTCCGTAAGCAGGGGCAAAGTCCCTTGCAGCCGCTCTGGCCTGGTCAAAGTGGGTGAATGACCTCCAGATCCGGCCACCTGGTGAGGAAGCCTGTGATGTTGGCCGTGGGGGGTCACGGGGGGCCACTGTGATCCAAGCCAGCACTTCCCCCTGGAGGTGGCCAGACGGCTGCCGCGGCGCAGCAAAGATCCCATACAACTGGTGACCTTGCCCAGCTCCGGGGCCACAGCCCCCTCTACTGGCAAGTCTTGGGAAAGGCAGGTGCACGGTGGCCTCAGAAGAGGGAAGGCACGCTCGGAAGGAAACCGAAGTGTCCCATCTCACTTTTTTTTCCCATGTATATTTTTTGTTGTTTTTCTTTTTTTCTGTAAAATGTCCCGGTTCTTCCATAACTTATAAACATGATTTAACCGAGGAGTGGCTGGGGAAAGGGCTGGGCGGCTGATGGGGGCAGGGAAGCCCCTCTTCCTGTGCCCCTGCGGGGGGCCGGGCACTGGGCCCTTGGGGAGATGGGGACGCCCCAAAACTCCTCCCTGAAGTCAGTCATCTGGCCGCCCCTGCCCCTCGCTTCCAGAATCCCTTCCAGGACCCTAGGCCCACGGAGCACCACCCCGGCGCTCAGAACCCTGAAGTGTCTCATCGTTCGACAACTCCTTCCTCAGCTGCTGGGGTGATGGGTTCCCTCCTTTCCGCTGCCCGCCCCCAGGCCCCGAGGAGGCAGGGAAGGGAGGGAGGGGGGCTCAGGTCTCCCCTCTGAGGCCGGGGGCGGGAGGGGCTGAGGAGGCAAGGCCTGGGGGTCAGCCCGGGACTCAGCCAATGGTGAGGCCAAAGCCGCACTGGAACTTGTTCTTGCGGTGATTGAGGAAAGCCCCGAGCGCCAGCGTCAGGGGCAGCGGGGGCAGCTTCTTCTCCAGCGTGGCACCAACGATCCAGTTGCTGTCCACGGAGCCTGCGGCAGAGGCGGGGTGAGAGGGGTGCAGGGTTCCCACGCGTCCCCGTGCACCCGCGCTCTGGGCCACCTCCGACACCAGCCAGGCCCCCGGGGCAGCCCTGAGTCCTGACCGCAACTGGCTCACTGACCCTCTTCCACCTCAGCGACCAGGCCCCCACGTTGCCCCCTTCCCTGCCACATCTGGCCTCCCGTCTCAGCCCCGCCCACACGAGGACAGGGGCTGGTCACCACTGTGTCCCCAGCACCAACACAGGGGTGAGCACAGAGCTGGTGCTGGAGGGGTGTCTGTCGAACGAGGGACCATGCCATCTGGGAACATGTACAGAGCCTTCTGATACAGTAAGCCTGTGAGCAGCTAGGGGGCCCCACTGCCCGGGAGGCCAGGGTCAAGAGGCATGCCCCCGACCAGAGGGAGTGTATCTCGGGACCTCAGCCCAGGCTGTGGGGGGTGTGGGTGGGCAGCCTGCCCCAGGGGGTTCTATAATCTGCGAGGCACCAAGACTGGACACCAGAGACCAGGACTAACAGCCACCAGCCTGGGCTGAGGTCTGGCACCTGGCTGTGGCCGTGTGACCTCAAGGACGGAACTGTGCGGTGACTGCTCGGTCCCTGCACAGCCCAAACACACCGCCCGACGCCCTGGGGTGGGACCCAGGCATGTTCACGCCTCATGAGCCTTCCGGGCAACGTGGAGGCTCACGCCAAGTCCCCACGCACTGCCCTGTGCGTCACTCCTGACCTGCACCCCCAATCCGAGCTGAGGCAGAGCTGTTTCCTACGCAGGGAGACGAAGGCCTGTACCTTTGAAGAGGAGGTTGGCTTTGGGCAGGTCCAGCTGGTACCCGAAGGAGACACTCGTGTCCTGCATCCTTGTGCTGGCCTCAAATTCCACGCCCACTTGCAGCTGGAGAGGATGGACACACAGAGGTAACTTCTGCACGGGGTGACTCCCAAGCACCCGGCCCCAGGCAACCCGAGCTCGGCACCACCCTCACAGCCGGTCCCCCAGCAGCTCACCTGGTCACTGGCTTTGTGGTAGTACGTCGCATGCATGCCAGCCTGACCCACCGTCACTGTCGCTAACCAGTTGTTCACTGTGAGTCAGGGAGGATGGGGCAGGTTACCAACCAAGTCAAGGACCTGTGACCCCGGCCCTCAGACCCAGGACTCCTGGCCCCACCTCCTGCCCCAGCCCTAGGCTTACACGTGTATTTCCCGGCTAGAGACATGACCGTGCCCTCCTCCCCCGGCCGTCGGTGGTAGACCAGCTCTCCGCCCAGGGCCAGACATGGCGTGATGCTCTGGAGGTAATGGGCCACGAGGATTCCTGGGGGGAGATGGGTGGGAGGTTTATCCTGGCTTGGTGGTCCATCTCCACCCAGCCAGGGGTCTGAGGTGGGTGCCCACCCTCCAGCCAGGGTGCGATGCCAGACTCCTGCTTCAGGAAGCCCACCGGGCTTGCCTGCACTGGCAGGCTCAGGCCACGCCCACTGCTCACTCCTAGCCCCTGGCTGAGCAGTCCCCACTGCTTGGGGGCTGCACCCCGGCCAGCCCTGGGCTAACTCTGTGACCCGTGGGACCTCACTGGTCTGCACAGCCCCTCGAGGCCAGCACTCAATGGACACCATTTACAGAGGTCACGGTGGCTGAGGGAGGCAAGGTCACTCACCCAGGGTCACACCACGTGTCAGGGGCAGACTCCAGGCCTCTACACCTCCCAAGCCCAGGCTCTGAACCACTCTGCCGCTGCGAGAGGCAGGAGAGTAGGGGCGTTAAGGGCACGTCCTGGGGCCGGATGGCAGGGTTCAGATCCCGGCCCCAGCACTTAGCAGTGGAGTGACCCGTGGGGCACTGAGTCCCTTCTGTCTGGTGTCCACAGGACCACCTCTGAGGGGTGACAGAGACAAAACAAAGGGCTGCAGCCCAGCACGTGGGGACAGCTCTGAGGCCCGTGTGCCTGCCTCTCCGGCCTGGGGCTGAGCTCGCCGAGCCCAGGGACCCAGCCAGATTCAGCCGCGGGTCTCCGGGGCCGAGGACAGTGAGTGGACGCGTGGTTTTATCTGAGTGAAGAGCCAAGAGGAAGGAGGCGGACAGACACACAGCGAGTGACTGTGGGCGACGGAAAGGGCGGCACCTAAGACCCCGGGCAGACACACTCTGAGGAACTATGGCCGCAAGGCAGGCAGGGACGTGGAGAGTCGGAGCACGGGAGAGAGGAATGAGGGCATGAGGCGTCGGTGGTGGGAGAAGCCCCCCAGACGGACCAGCAGCTCAGGCGAAGGGCCTTGGCCTGAGGCAGTGGGGCTGCCCACAGGGTTCCCTGCCCCGAGGTGGGAACCCCGATGGACCAGGCGGGGGGCAGGGCTCTCAGTGAGGGTGTTGGTGGCATCTCGTCAAGTGGCAGGATCACTGCAGGGCTGCAGCCGGTCCCTCCCTGATGGCTCCAAAGAGCCAACCGTGCCTCAATGAGGAAACGATACAAACCAGCCCACAACCACGCCTCCAGTCAGCGTCACCCTACACATTCAACTGAGAGAAACAGGTCCGCTAAGGGAGAAGCAGCTGAGGCCACATGAGACAGAGGCTTCGGCACAGGGTTTCGCCAACCTCCCTTCCTCGCCAGCTCCTGGGCCTGACCTGCCTCCCGTCCAGCTTCCTGGCCCAGTCTCACCGGTTCCAGGCCACCTCACTGAGCACACATGCCCCTATCCACCCCCTGCCCAGAACCTGTCCTGGCTGCCCGGTACCCTCCGTGCCTCCCACTGCAGCCACAAGGCGTGGGGCTCGGCCCCGGTCCCCCACACAGCCAGTCCCCCTCCCCAGGCTGCAGGAACCTGTGGGGCTGGCTCACCTGCTGGGGCTGGCTGGCTAAGCGTTTGCATCTACTTCCTGGACCTGCCCACCTCTCCCCCAGCAGCCCCTGGCTTGCCTCACCACAAGACCAACACAGACGGCCCCCTGGGTCTCCCGCTCCCACAGCTGCCCCTACAGTCGATGGGACAGGCAGCAGCCACAGGAGTGTGGGGGCCTTGTCAGCAGTCACCTCTCCTGTGGCTCCTCCCGGCCCCAGAGTCCTCCCTCGGCGCCCATCCTGTCCTCTGGGCCTGCGTCGCCCAGATGCCCTCTGACCCGTCCCCCCACTTCCAGCTCCCTAACGTGTCTGTCGGTGACACCCATCTGTGTCCACGGCCTGCACTCGACAGTGAGCCCCACACGGAGAGCAGCGGGTCCCAGCTGGCACGACCTCACCTCCTGCGGGCCACCAGGCAGCATCTGAAGACATCTGCGGCTGTCCCAACGGCGAGCGGACGCCCCTGGCCTCTCGTGGGCGTGGGCGGAGGCCAGGGGTCCTGCTCAACACCTTAAGCTGCATGGGACAGCCCTCCACAAAGAATGACCCGGCCCCAGACGTCAACAGTGTTGAGGCTGAGGTTGAGTGGTATTTCTTGAACCAGCACCTAGCACTTAACATTTCCAGGTGCTGTCAGGCTGGTTCCACCTCCCAGAGACCCCGCGCCTGACAGAAGCAAGCCCTGCCCGGTCCCACGCCAGCCCCACAACCGTGCCTGTTTGAGCCCAGCTCAGCAGCCACTGTCAATCCGCGTCACTGAGCCACTGTCAATCCGTGTCACTGAGGATCTTGCCCTTTTCCGCCGACCCGCTACTTTGTCAAGGGGCTCTGGTGGCACAGTGCCTAAGCATGAGACTGCTAACCAGAAGGTCGGCGGTTCAAACCCACTCAACAGAAGGAAGATGGGGCAACCTACTTCCATAAAGATTTATAGCCTTGGAAATGCAATGGGGGTCGTTAGGGGTCGGAAGCGACTGGACAGCAATGGTTCTGCTGTACCTAGCACATCCGTCTCCAGGGACCGCTCCCTCCTGATAAATCGACCAAAATGCGGGAGACAAAGCTTCACCACCCTCACTCCTAAGGAGCGTTCGGGCTGCGCTTCCTCCAAGACAGGGCTGCTCGTTCTTGTGGCCGTCCACGGCAATCAACTCTTCACCAACACCGTTCATTCAAATCCGTCAATTCTTCTTTGATCTTACTTCTTCCCAACAAATCATGGATGAAATTGCAAAGAATGGAAATTCCAGAGCACTTAACTGTACTCATGTGGAACCTGTATGTAGCTCAGGAAGCAGTCATTGAAACAGAGCAAGAGCACACCGCATGGTTTAAAATCAGGAAAGGTGTGCATCTGGGCTGCGTCCTCTCGCTGTAGTTATTCAACCTGTATGCCCAGCTAATGATCCAAGAAGCTAAACTATATGAAGAAGAATGCGTCATCTGGGTTGGAGGAAGACACATTAATTTATGATAAGCAGATAATAAACCGGGAAGCTATTGAAATTGTCAAGCGTTTTCATTTTACTCAGCTCCGCAATCAACACCCACGGAAAAGGCAGTCAGGAAATTAGACAATGTATCGGATCTGGGCAAATCTACCATAAAAAATCTCTTTATGGTACTAAAGCAAAGATGTCCCTTTGAGGACCGAGGGATGCCTGACCTAAGTCTTGGTTGTTTCAGTGGCTTCATTCACATGCATAAGTCTCCTACCCCCAAGTGTCACAAGAGACCACGGAGAACACGATGAGCTCAAACCCTTCCAAAAGAACAAAGGGAGTCAGAGGCCTGTCAGAGGCCGAGAGGCCTTGGGCACAGGGCAGAGAGGCCAGCCTAGGAAAGGCAGCCTCCCAGTTCTGCCTCCCAGACTGGCTGGGCCAGGGCGCAGAAGAGCAACCAGGGTCACTATGAGTTGCAAATCCGACTGGATGGCAGCGTTTTGTTTTTTTTTCCCCTAATGCCTGTGAAAGCTGGACAGATAAGAAGACCAAGTAAAACTGACGCCTTCAAACCACAGCGTTGGCAAAAGAACATGGAATACACCAGGACGGCCAGAAGCATGACAAATCTCTCGGCAGGAGGACGGCCAGAGTGCTCTGGAGCGAGGCTGTGAGGCTTCACCTCACGCTTCAGACAAGCTGTCTGTGGGGCCAGGCCAAGGAGGACATCACGCTCGGTTGAGGGTCAGCGGAGAAGGGGAGGACGCTCAGCGAGACGGACTGGCGCAGCGGCCGCGTCAACGGGCTCAAACCCAGCGAGGACGGAGGCCGGCACGGGAGCGGGCGGTGCTTCAGGGCTGCTCACGGGGTCCTACGCGTCGGAACCGACCTGACGGCCCCTCACAGCAGCAGCAGCACATGCTGGAACCCTGAGCCCTGCACCTGTGGACAGGAGTCGCTGGGCGGGGCGCATGCTTAAGCGCTCCACACCAGCTGAAAGGCTGATGGCCCGAGCCCGTCCGGGTACCTCGGCAGAAGCCTGGAGGTCTATTCTCCAAAGGCCAGAGTCTCAAAAACCCCATGGAGCAGTTCCACCCACACATGCGTCGCTGGAACGACCACAGGCAACTAACGGGCATGGCTCCGAATGGGACGTTACGCCAGTGAGGCCATACCAGGACAGAGCGGGCTTCGACCTAACCACTTCTGAGAAAGAAAAAGAGCACGTTTAGCACAGAAGCAAGGAAGCAGCTGTGGGGGAAGGCAGGTGCCAAGCAGAGAGCTCCAAGGAGCCCCAGAAGAACACTAGAGAAGTTGGACGAGGACTCACGCCACCCACCGCGGTGTCACGGCAGCCCTTGGAAACCCAGACACTCCCCTTCTCCCAGCTAGGGGAGCCCTTCCTCTGCCTTTTGCAGCTGTAAGGTGACACCTCCTCCGGGAAGCCCCCCTGGACTCCTCCAGGCAGAAGCAATGCCTCTCCCGGCCCTTGCAGGGACCCGGAGCAGCACCGGCTTCCCGCCTCCACACCTCGCCCCTGCTCTCTGCAGTCAGTGGGCGGCAGTGGGATACTCCAGCCCGGTGACCAGCAGCTCCATCGCTTCCAGGGCTCATTTCAGAACGCTGGAGCCGTCCTGCCTCCTCTCTCTGACCCTCCACGTGCCGTCCATCAGCAAATGGGAACTGGCTCCGCCTTCAAGCTACTTCCAGAAGCCAAGCACTCCTCAGCCCCCCGCTGCCCTGCCTCAGAATCCCTCTTAGTATGTCCTCCGAGAACCGGCACAAGCTGTCCTGTCAGTGAGCGGAGTCCCATGCCGTCCCTCCCCGGCTCAGCGCCTCCCGGAGAGGCTCTTCCAGGCCCTCTGGAATGTGGGCCCGTCTCAGGCACCTTTGTCACTTTGCAGCCACCGCCTTCCTTCGCGTTCCTTGAACTCCCCCGGCCTGAGCCTGCCCCAGGACCTTTGGGCCCACTCCCTGTGGCCACAGGGCTCCCTCCCTCCCCACCCCTTCAGTCTTCCTTCCAAAGTCACCCAAGGAACAGGCTGTGTCTGAGAAGGCCACCCACCCTGCCCCCATCACCTGATGCCTGTCCTCGTGGAATGGAAGCTTCCAGAGGCCCAGACTCAAGTCTACTTTGCTCGACACCGTACCGTTGGTGTGACGGCAACGGGCTTGATTCATTTTGTTCTATAGGCACTGAGGGTGCGGTGTTGAATGAAGCGTGTGACGCACACACAGGGTACGTGCTTGATAAATGCTTGTTAGATGACAGAGAGAAACCAAAGGAGGATGCCCACGGACACAGAAGGGGGCGGGAGAGGCGGGACAGAAGCACAGACGAGAGGGAGAGGGTCCCTGCTCCCACCTGACCCCAACAGGAACGATCACGACAGCCCCATCTCTCACTTCCGCCCTCCTTGGGGGCAGCACGCAGCCCTGGCCCGCCTGTGGCCTGCTGTGTGCTCCGTGGGCGCCCAGGGCCCCACGAGGAACAAGGACAAGAGCAGCCATGCAGACCTGGGTCCCGCCACATGCCTGGCATCTCGTGAAGCCTTTCACATGTACCAACTCAGAGAACCTCTATAGCCATCCTATGAGACAGCTCTAATAAGATGGAAAAGCTGAGCCCAGAGAAGTGGGGCAACTCACCTAAAGGCACACAGCAGTGGGGTTAGGCCTAACTTGCACTCTCACCCCCTAAACTCCGTCACCAGAGGTTCTGAAACGACCCCTCCCCCAGCCATTTCTCAGAAGACCCAGAGAAGCAGTTGGTTTGGAGCCCCCCCAAGCCCTGCACCACTTACCGGAGCCCACCAGGACATCAGGGTTCCCCAGGGTGACCGCCGCCGTGAAGTCAGAACCCCGGTACTCCCCGTCCACCTGCCAGTTCACGAACTTTGCCTGCTGCGTCTGTGGGGGACAGAGGCGGGTGTGAGAGCAGCCAGTGGGCAGGTGGCTGGGCGGGCAGCTGGCCAGAGGTCCCTCCTCACCTGGATGGCCATCTTGGACCTGAGGCCGGGGCCCAGCTGGTGAATGACCTGAGCGTTGAGGCTGCCGCTGTTGTCCATGTCACCCACCAGCACAGGAAACGCCTGCGGGGCAGAGGGCACGGTTAGAGGTCAGAGGGCCGGCACCCTGGAAGCACACGAGTGATGGGCCCAGGTGAGAAGGCTGGAGTCAGAAAGCCGCCGACTGGAATCCTTTCATGCAGGAAGCCCTCTCTTACCACCTGGGCTGCTCTGGGGTACCCTCCTAGGCTCCCACAGCCTTCATGCCCACAGCTGTTGAGTTGACTCTGACTCACAGCACCCTATAGGACAGGCAAGGACTGCCTCAGAGGTTTCCAAGATTATAAATCTTCACAGAAACAAAGCCGAAACCAAACCCTATGCCGCTGAGTAGATTCTGACTCATGGCGCCCCTACAGGACAGAGCGGAAATGTCCCGTAAGACTTCCAAGGCTGGAATCTCTACAGAAGCCCACTGCTTCATCCTTCTCCCACAGAATGGCTGGTGGGTTCCAACTGCTGACCCTTCAGTTAGTAGCCAAGCACTAACCACTGTGCCACCAGGGTCCTTCTGCAGCCTTTGGGCTCCGTTTCAGCTCTGAATTCTTCCTCTCTGGGGATAGGTCCAGCCCCGCCCCCTCCTCCCTGAGCTGTGAGCCCCTCGAGGGAGGGACAGGACTGTTTTGGTCACTGCTGTGCCCCCAGCACTGTCCAGCACAGGGCTGGGCACAGAATAGGATGCAATGAAGTTCTGTTGAATAAATGAACTGGAAGGGTTGATGCCACCGAGTCGACCCTAACTCCCGGTGCCTCGATGGGTGTCGGAGGAGAACTGGGCTCCGTGGAGTGTGGCTGCTTTTTCAGAAGGATGGCCAGGGCTTTCTTCTGAGGATCCTCTGTGGGCTTGAACCACCAACCTCTCAGCAACCAAGCACTTAGGCAGGACCCTAATTCAGTCCCTGTTCCTCTCACCTGTGTCCTGCCCCAGCCCCCAGTGTTGCCGCTCCTGCCCCTAACCCAGCCTCCATGTGACAGCCTGAAGGCTATTTCTAAGGCATAAAACCTGACCACAAATTTTCCTCGTTCAGATCTTCCCAGAGCTGCCCAATAATCTCTAGACAACATCCAAATGCCTAGTCTGGCATTCAACCAGAAAACCAAACCAAACTCACTGCTGTCAAGTAGGTTCTGACTCATAGAGACCCCTCCTTGGGTTTCTGAGGCAGTATCACTATGGAAGTAGATTGCCCAACCTTCCTTCCGAGGAGTGGCTGGTGGGTTTGAACCGCCAGCCTTCTGGTTAGCAGTCCAGTTCCTTAGGCACTGTGCCACCGGGGTGCTATCGCCAGCGCTGCCCACTTTGGGTCATCACTCTCCGATGCCAGAAAGGGTTGCTGTGGTCTCCCCGGTGTCCCTGCCAGCACCACCCAGCACAGGGCTGGGCACAGAGCAGGGGTTCGAGGGATGCCGCGGTATGTGGTCTGGAGGCAGTCCCCGTGTTCCAACATGCCTTAGAGAGACACCACCCCTAGCTCCCCACACCTCAACAGCTCTGACTTTCTCCTCCTCAGGAAGCCTCGGCATCTGGCTACACGTTTGTGCAAAGAAAGATACACTAAATGAATCAATGACAAAAGCCAGCTCACCTCTGTGGGACTCAGCTGCTTCGTCCCCACGTACGTGACCCCGAAGTGGTAGTTCGATTCCCCGATTGTGCTGAGGGCTACCGTGTGGTTCACCTGGGAGAAGAGGGGGAGGCTGTGGGCATGACACTGGGGCCCACCCCACCCCCAGCCTGGATGCAGGGTACATGCCAGCCTGCTTCCCCACTGAGGGAGACCAAAGGCAGTGTGTGTGGGGCCAAGAGACCAACACTAGAAGGCGTGGGCGTGGCCCGACTGGATCAGACCCTTGCAGAGAAAGGATGCACTGGGGGGAGGGGTCCTGCCTGGATGTTACTGGGGCAGGAGGAAGGTTATTTGTGGGTTCTGGATCCCCAAAGCCTACGTCAGCCCCTACTAAGCAGCAAGCCTGGCACTGTCTCGCTCAGTCTTTTCAAGCACCAAGGAGACCCAGCCCGACAAGGACAGGCAAGGGGGCTGTTTGTGCAGCTGCAGGGGGATGGCTGGGATGACCTCTGGAGGATAAGGGTACCAGGAAGGCTCACCTGGAAGTGGTTACTCAACCCTTTGTTGACTGTGAGTTTCACACCTTCCATCTGAATGGGAAACAGCTCTGGAGAAGAGAAATGCTGTCACTCGCCACTCCCCACACACCCACTCACATCCCCTCTGCCCCAGCTCTCTCTTAGCACAAGCAGAACGCCAGATAAAGCAGCCCAACCACATTCAGTGGAGGCAGTTCAGCCTAGCAGACAGGACCAGGCCTCTACCTGCAAGCGAACCCAAATGTCACCACCTACTACTATCTGTATGACTTAGCCCAGTCACTTTGTCTCTCTCTCTGTACATGAAGCTCAGCTGTAAGACCGTGATGCTCACCAGGCACAATGGTTGCAAAGATTTAAGAAATAAATGTGCAGCGACCGCTAAGGTTGCAGCTCCATCATCGTTACTGTAACAATGCTTTCAAGTCAGGATCCAGAAGCTTTGGGATCCACCCACACCATGACACCTTGCTGACACTGTGACCTTGGGCCTCAGTGCCTTCCCCAGTCACACGACGAGGCTGGCTTGGCTGATGCTGGGTGCCTAAGGCTTTTTCCTACTGCTTTGGCATAACACGCCAAGTTCCACCATTTGATGCCAGCGATCTACGTTCCAAACCTAGTGTTCCACCATTCGATCCCAACGTCAAGCCCTAACACCTGGTTAAACGATTCCAAAGCTTCACGCCAATTCCCAAGGTCCCCAATGACCTCCCTTTTCCCCGCCCCGAGATCCGGGCCATCACTCCCTGCCGGAGCCCCTCTCCCCTCACCCTTGCACTTCCGGTGGCACTCTTCGAACGTGCCCGGGTTTGGCAGGCAACCGCAGGCCCCATCGTCCGCGGCCCCCGTAGCGCTGGCCGCGGCGGCCCCGGGAGTCCGTTCCGAACCTCGCCCCGCGCTGGCCCCGGCGCCCAGGCTGCCCCCGAGAGGCGGCAGTGTAAAGCCTGGAGGCCCAGGCGGAGGCGGCGGTAGCCCCACGAGGGCGGGCGCAGGTGGCGGCGGCGGCCCAGCGGGCGGCGAGCTGGCAGCCAACACATTCCCCATGGTCGCCTGCGAGGGAGAGGTCAGAAGCCAGAGGTCAGGGCCCGGGCGCCCCGGGCCAGTCCCCAGCTAACCCCTTGCCCTGCTGCTGGCCCTGGTTCTCACTGGCGGCGGCGGCGCCTGCTCCCGGCCTGGGCTCCGCTCCCACCCCGTGCGCCACGCGCAACCGAACCCGCTGCCGCCGCCGCCGCCACCGTCGCTCCGCCCCGCCCATCCCATTGGTTCAGCGCACGCTGGGGTCCGCCCACTAGTCCAGGATCTGTCTTTTCTATTGGAATTTTGTACAGCAGTCCCACCCACCTTTTCCGAACGTCATTTTCTAATGGTCTGTGCTCGCAGGCAGGTCACAGCACACCTCCCTTCTCGTCCTATTGGCTCAGAGAATCCAAGCCTATTGGCTCATGACTCCGCGGGTTCGGGTGCTCTACTGCCATTGGCCTGTTCTGCACACTTTGCAACGCCCACTGACGCTCACCTCCCACCTCCTCATGAGGGGGTCCTTTCTTTTGACTCCGCCCCCCGGAAAGGTTACCCTGATGATTGGTCTGCTTTGGCCCTCGCCGCGTACTGATTGGCTCCAGCTGCCCCGAGGGCCCGCCCTGGCTACGTAATCACTCTGATGTGCTCATTGGCTAACGTGCCAGGTCGAAGGACATGGCTAAAGGTGGGTTGCACGGGAGAACTGTTAGGCAGCAAGGTCAGGCCTCCTGTCCCACCAGGCACCGCGGCAGAGGGGCAGCCCTCTGATCTGGAGTCGCCCCGAAACCCGGAAGTGCTGATCCTTCCCACAGTACCTTGAGAGAAAACCAGCCGGTTATGTGAACTCTTACCCTCGTTACCCACAATGCTCCGTTGCCTATCAACGCAAAAGGGGCCTTTGGCCCACCCCTTTTGCTTCCCATCATGCTTTGTGTCATCCTGTCACCGCAGTTTCTATCTTTGGCCCATTCATTCCCGTCCCATTACCCATCATGCCTCTGCCCCATTCATTCAGCTTGACTGCCCCCAGTGCCTTTGGCTCACTTCTGCCTGTTCATTTCCATCATTTTTCTGGCCCTTCTCCTTCAATTACCCATCAAGTTTTGGGTCTGTTAATTCCCGTCCATTACCCATCATGCCCGCGACCCCTATTTCTCCATTATTCATCACTCCGCCTTTGGCTCATTCATTCAGCTCCATTACCCACCATACCCTGGGCTGCTATCGCAACATTGTTCCTTATTTTGCCTTTGATCTATTCTTGTCGTTTACCCATCATCCCTAAGACTATCGCCCTTAATTACTGCTATTTCTATCCTCGTTCCGTTTATTTCTGTCCCTTACCCATTAGGCCGCTGGTGCACTGATCAATTCTCATTCTCCACCATTCCCTGGACTCCTTCCTTCCCTTCTCCCTCCTTTATCCATCTTCTGTGCATTTTGGCTCATTGCTCTCTCCGGTTTTTTTTTTTTTTCCTTCGTATCTCTCCAAAACCAAAACCAAACACTGCCATCAAATCGATTCTGACTCACAGCAACCCCCACTGGGTTTTCGAGGCTGTAAATCTTTACAGAACTAGATTGTCCCATCTTCCTTTTGTGGGCGGCTGCTGGGTTTTAACTAGACTTTCTGGTTAGCAGCCAAATGCCTTAACCACTACGCCACCAGAGCTCCTATGTATTTCTGACCCTCTGTTGCGATCTGTAAGGCATCTTGACTTCCAGCCCACCATTCCTTTTCTTACCCTCAAGCCCTGGGCCTCTATGCATTGCCCATCATGCCCCACCCTGATCCCCTTCACATCCCACAGAAAACAAGACCAGGTCAAAGTATAAACGCATTTTGTAGGAAAGGCTAGTGTACAAAACAGGATCAGGTTCCCTACCCCCAACCCGAGTGACTTCACTTTGCCCTGAAGGGGATGTCTGGGTCCCTATCCCACTGCGTAGGGGTAAAGGACTCAGTAGTCTCCGAGGTAACAGCAAATTCTTCTCCCAAGGCTGGGGTCGTCAAGGCACTCTCTGCTGGGGCTCACCCCATCTAGTCCTCGGTTGAGGCTCTATGTCCCTTACACAGGCGTGGGGTGGGGCTCAGCGAAGGGTCTGGATCCTGGGACTCCTGCCTGCAGGAGGGAGGAGATGGAAGCTCTGCCTTGGGCTGGGGAATCCCTTCCCTTGCCTCCTTCGGAGATCGGAGATCGGACGGGGCAGCCGGGGGAGAAGGCGAGTGGGGCTCTGCTGCCTGGAGGGCTCAGGTCTGAGCAGCAGGAAGCCCACCCCAGCAGAGCTGTTGGGAGTTTACTGCCTGAGGACCAATCAGAGGCTGGGGTCTTCTCTGGGATAGTGGGGGAGTCTGGAGAGGTCAGTGGGGAGGTGAGAGGTATGTTCTAAGGTCTTATCCTTGAGGGGAGTCCTTGGGTCAAAGGTGGTACAGAAACATACCCTCCTGACCTCACGAGATGAAATGACCAGCTTTCCCTTGTCACAGCAGGTTTCTCTGGGTCTTTGGACCCACCAAAGTCGAAGTCACACATGAGATGCACGTGTGTTAACTGACAGGGGCCTGGCCAGAGATCAGGGGGCACTAGATCCCAGGTAGGAGGCAGAGAGATCAGACATACATGGCCCGGGACATGACAAACCCTTTGCCCTGGTAGGACTCGGAGGGGCTGCTATAGGACAGGGCGTCGTAGATGGGGTTCATCTTGTCCAGATAGTCCCCCTCCTCCTCCTCTTCCTCTTCTAAGTCCAATGAAACCCCTTCCACAGCAGGAGACCCTGGGGGCCCCAGAATGGGGGGCGCACGGCTTGTGGCCCCCAGGAGCAGAGGCCCGGAGCGCTCTTCCAAGGTGGGCAGTTCATGGTATCGAGGCATTTCCTGGGAGCGGGGAGGAAGTGAGAGCCGAAGGTCACCTCCTGAGCAAGAGGAAGAACCCCTAAATCCTGACCACTTCTTCCCATGACCTGATCTCATCCCTTATCCCCCTTCGCCCCTTGTCCCCAGGGTCGGTACTGCACTGGGACGGTCATACAGTTCATCCCTAATACAAGGCCCAGATGTGGACGTCACCTTGTCAATCCTGGGCTGCTCCTTGGTCGCTTGGTCCCTGACCCCAAGTCTTTCCCCCATGAACTTCAAACTCAGTTTTGACTTCAACTACTTAACCTTGAGTCCTAAATAGCCCCTTGATCCTGGATGTGTCTCGACTGGGCCTGGTTTTGAGTGGGTGGGCAGCTGGATAGAGTTGTTCTCCATGAGGAGACTGGTAATCACCTCCATGGTGGGATCTACAGAAGCAGCTGAGTAGTTGCCTTAGGGACGTGGTCGCTTCCAGTATGTAAGGAGAAGACTTGAGCAAGGTCTCGGAGCTCTTTGGCACGCTTGGACCCTGCATGTACCAGAGTCTTCATTCGGCAGCCTGCCACATTTCCTGCTGCTTCTGGGACTGTCTCTGGACTTGAACTAGTGGCCTGTCATGTTGTTGGGTAATCTTAGGGCTGTGCCATTTTATTTGTCGACCTTGAGTTTGTCAGCCTCAGCAGCCAGCAGCTGCTTGAGTTAAGAGAAGCCTCCAGCTTCAGTGGGCAGGGAGCAAGAGGCAGAGCTGAAGCCCAAGGTCAAGAGTGTTTCATTCAGCCACTAGAGCAGGCACTTGGAACTTGGACTTCTAGCCTTCTAAACTGTAAGAGAATAAATCCTTTATTTCTTCAAGCTACCCACTTGTGATGTACTTGATACAGTAGCACTGGAGACCCAAACAACCACTGAGGGGAGTGCCTGTATCTGTCTCGTCCCAGCTCCTAGCATAGTATCTGGCAAATGTAGATACTCAACCAAGCCTCCCTGACCACATGGCCTTTAAACTCTAATCTCGTGCCTTTTCAGTGCTACCTGCTACCTCTGAATCCTGAACACATGTCTGTGCTCCAAGCTCTGACCAGAGACACAGCCCTAACCTTGAGTTATGACCTCTAGTCCTTGACCTCTTATGTCAGGGCCTGACTCCCAGCCCTGAAGATCCAAATCCCAAACCCACCCTTGTCCTGCCAAGTTCATACCTGCTCAGCACACGAGATGCCGGCATCAAAGTAGGGGGTCTTGAGCGGGCTGTGCTCTGACGCCCCCAGAGTGAAGAGTTGGGAGGGCTGCCATGGAGCAAGAGGGACAAGTCAGGACCCCCCACCTCCACAGCTAGCTCTCCCCAGCAGGCCCCCCTCCCAGCCCTGGCCACAGTAGACAAAGTGGGGTGTGGAAGTAGGGGCAGGCTGGGCTCCAGGGGAAGTGCTCACCATCTCCGGCTCTTCCAGCTTCGCCTTTGGGGTCGGAGGCTTGTATGAGGGTGGACCCTCCAGGCTGTGGGGGAGGAGGAAGGTCAAGTGGAGGCCTCCTGCCTCCAGGTCAGTGCACATGCAGATCCATCTGCCTGCAACTTTCTTTCCATCCCACCCTACCCCATCTGGCGAACTCCTACTCATTCCACAAATCCCTCTTCTTCCAGGAAGCCCTCTTGATTCTCCTGACTGATCAGGAATCCCTATCAAATGGTCACATCTACCCTGTACTTCTCCCTTGGGACACTTACTGAGTTTGTATTTGAAATAGTATTTATAATATTGGTCAACTACTGTACCCCGTTGGGAGCTCTGTGAAGGAAGGAATGAGGTCTGGGTTGTCAATATTAGGTCCCCAGAGTCCACCATGAGGAGTTTGATAAGTATTTGTTGAAAGACAGCGAGAGAATGAAAAGTCCTTTCCTGACCCCCAAGCTTAGGTTAAACCCCTCACTCTACACACCCGCAGTCCAAAGCATCCTGTACATACACTGATAGAAGGTGATCGTGTTGGTGGTGGTTAGCACCACCAAGTTGGCCCTGAGTCAAGGCAAATCCCACGTCCCAGGGAACGAAAGGCTGCCCAGCCAGTGCCATCCCCAAGGCTGGTTGTGAATCAGACCATTGTCATGCACAGCGTTTTCATGGGCTAATTTTTGGAAGTGCATCACCAGGCGTTTCTTCCTCATCTGCCTCAGTCTGGACGCTCCATTGAAACCTGTCAGCATCCCAGCAAGACAGTCTCCACTGACGGATGGGCGTGGCTGCACACGAGATGCCCTGGCTGGTAATCACGCTCCGGTCTCTGCAGCGCAGAGAGCAGTGAATTTCTTCATATGGTCCTTTTAGGAATAGTCTTATAGTGCCCACCAAATGGCTGGAGAGGTTATGCAAATAAGGTGTGTGAAACCCTACTGAGCGGATTGGTCAGTTGTGCCAGCCTGCTAGGCTTAAAATGAGGTGGAAAGGGGAAACCTGACTACCACCAAGAAGAAGGGATGGGAGCAGAGTATGTCCTTTGGACCCAGGATCTCTGTGCTGGGGACCTCCTAGACCCAGGAGACAGAAGGCGTGAGATGGTGAGAAGCAGTGGCAGAGAATCAGTGGCGGCAGAACCAGGAGACACGCAGGAGACGCACAGTGGGCTTCTGGACCCACAGAGGAAGAATGCTGAGGGCCTTCAGTGTCTTGCTGGTGGAGTGAGGTGCCTCTGGGTGGAACTTCCTGGTGGAACTAAAGAGCTTTGCAGCACTTGCCAGAGCAGGGCAGAGGCTGGGCCAGCCCAAGAGGTCCTGTGGGTATGGCTGAGAAGAAGTGCGTCCTGAGTCTTTCCTGATCCCAAATGGTACCTGTTACTTCCCTAATAAACCCCATAAGTGTCAGTATGGTCTGTGACTTCTGTGTGGCTGTTGCAACACACGATTGAACACAACAGGAGTAGAGACAGACGCGGAGCAGATGGTTCGTGTCAGAATTGGTAAAAAGATTGGAGAGAGGAGGCTATCTGACCTCTGCTGATAGGAATCAGCCTTGGGCTGCTAATCTTCATCCTCCTCCCCTCTGTGAAGTTAGTTGAGGAAGTCTGGCTGCCCCCACACCCAGGCCATTTTAATGTCTCCCATGTAGAAGGTGAGAACTCTACCACTGAACCACCACTGCCCCCGAAGGGTGCTTACTATGCCTTTAATCCCTACCTCAGATGGCCCTTCCTCCAGGAAGCCGTCCCTGACTGCCCTGGCCTCTCACACCCCCCTCAGCTGCCCTATCCCATCCCTGACTGTGCTGGGCTGTCACTCTCTGGGGACTAGTCTGTCTCCTCTTGTTGACTATGAGCCCAGGCGGGAAGGGTCAGGGTTGTCTCAGGCACCACTGGGTCCCCACACCAAACTGGGCACAGAGAAGGAGATCGTTAGGAAGTTGGAGGTTTGAATTGACTAGGCGGTTAAGACAGTGGTTCACACACTCCCCTGTGCATCAGAAGAATGTAGGAAACTTGTTATAAATACAGATTCTGAGCCCTTCTTGTAAATATTCTGATTCACAGGTCTGGAGAAAGCTTTTTTTTTTTTTTTTAAATTGTGATTTGGGTGGAAGTTTACAGAGGAACTTCATTTTCCATACAGCAGCTCATATACACTTTGTCTTATGACACTGACTGTAATTTCCCACAATGCAACAGCTCCCCTCCCACTTCCTCCCCATGGTTGCCTCTTCCCTGTGTCCTTCCCTCCATGCACTCCTGCCCCCCGAGCATACACAGCCCTTCTATTCTCCCATGATTGATCTCTCCAAGGAGTGTATCTACCTAATGTAAATGCTCAGCTCATATGCCTGTCTTTTTGTTTGGCTGGAAGCCACAGGAGTGGGTTCAATTCCAGACCTGAAGGGCAGCTAGGGGCCATAGTCTCAGTGGTTCCATCAGGCTCTACCAGACCAGCAAACCTGGTCCCTTTTTTTTTTTTTTTTAAATGATTTGAGTTTTGTTACACATTGTTCTCCCTCTCTATCCAGGATCTCCTACATGGATCCCCCTCTGAGTGGTTGACGGTGGTAGCTGGGCACCATCTAGTTCTTCTGTCTCATAGTCGTACAGGCTGAGGATCGCATGGTGTACCAGTCACTTGGACTAATTGTTTCCATGTATCTTTGGTTTTCTTCATTCTTCTTTGCTCTGGACGAGGAGAGACCCTTTGTTGCATCTCAATGGCAGCTTGCAAGCTTTTAAGATCCCCATTGTTATTCGCCAAAGTAAGATGTGGAACAATGTTTTGTGTAGTACTTACGCCAACTGAGCTTGATGTCCCCTGAGACTATGGTCCTGAGCCCACAGGTCCAACTCCTCGCTCAGCTGGCGTAACGTACTACACAAAACAATGTTTTTAACAAGTATTTCTCCAGTGGGTGGTGTTATCTGAGAAACATCTGGCCACAAAAAACTGGCTTGCCGGGTGCATTTCAGCAAGTGATTTCAGGGGTCCCTGAATTTCCTCTTCAACAGAATGGTCATTAGCTTCCTCCGAGAATTATATTTCCGTGATATATTTACTGATGGAGACCCTTTAAAAATGTTTGCCTCACTGCTGAGTCCCTAACCCCCAAGGGCCTGGCCAGGAATGAGCACTGAGTATCTGTTGACTTATCACTGAACGAATCTTTTGTGAGGTCACACATGTAACTTGCACCTCACTGAACCTGGTACATAAGTCCCCTATTCAGAGAGGGCGCTGGTGGTGTAGTGCCTAAGGCATCTGACTGTTAACCAGAAGGCTGGGGATTCAAAGCCACCAGCCACTCCTTGGAAGGAAGGCTGGGCCGTCTACTTCCTTAGTGATATCACCTCGGAAACCCAAGGAGGTGTCACTATGAGTCCGATCCAACTTGACGACAATGCGTTTTGCATTTTTTTTTTTTTTTTGCGAGGTATTCAGAGAAGTAGGAGCTCTGGTAGTGTAGTGCCTAAGGCATCTGACTGCCAACCAGGATGCTGGCGGCTCAGACCCACCAGCCACTCCTCGGAAGGAAGATGGGGCAATCTACTTCCGTAGTGATGTTGTTGTTGTTGTTATATGCCGGGGAGTCAGCCCTGACTCATAGCGACCCCTCCTTGGGTTTCCGAGGC